GCAGTTACAGTTTTCACCTTGTAATTGTATTTTACACAGCTTTTATCTTCCTTTCAGGAATATCAGCTCCATAAGAACAAAGCCCCTTTATTTCTTAGCTTTGAGACCTCCCAGTGAGATTGCCAGGAATAGATGTACTAGTAATTGTCAATTATATGGATTTACTATTAACATTGTCTTTTTTATAGTAAACAGTTTATAAAATTCTGTCTTTTGTTGAATTTGGATTATTTCTGAATTTTTCATCATTGTGTAATATAAAAAATAAGATCTCTGACTGAAGTAGAACTTTATAGTGAGCTGTTAAGTGGCAGACACCTTGTGGCTGAGGTTAACAAGTGGAGCCCCACTGGTAGGGGTTGAATTGTGTGCTCCAGAAAGATATTTTGAAGTCCTAACCCTCCAGTACCTGTGAATGTGACCTTATTTGGAAATAAAGTCTTTGCAGATGTAATCATATTAAGATGAGGTCATTGGGGTGGGCCCTAATCCAATAGGACTGGTGTCCATATAAGAAGAGGAAAATGCCATGTGCAACAGATACTCAGGGAGAAAGCATGCAGCAACCGAGGGAGAGACTGGAGTTACGCAGATGCAAGCCAAGGAACACCAAAGATTTCTGGTGATGTCAGAAAGCTAGGAGAAAGAACCGTAGAACAGATTATTCAAGAGAGCCTTTGAGAGAATGACTGCCTATGGCTTGATTTCAAGCTTCTAGTCTCCAGGACTGTGAGACAAATGTTGGTTGTTTTAAGCCACCCAGTTTGTGGTACTTCGTTATGGCAGCCCTAGGAAACTTAATAACCTTTCTGAACTCACTAGTTCAACACATTTATTGAACATCTGCCAGATACTAATTTAGATGCTTGAGATACATGAGTGAGCAAAGACAAAAATCGTGCCTTTGTGGACCTACATTCCAAGGGGTTATGAGTGAAGAGACAACATAAGTTAGAAGATGGTATCTTCTATGGGAAAAATAGTGTGGTAAAGTGGCTGGTGGGGTAGTTGCCAATTAGAATTGGGTGGTAGGGGTTGGGGTCATTTCTTCGTGATTCAAAAAAAGACAAATTAGGTAAGTGTGACGTCAAATATTTGGTCTCCACACTTAGTTCCTGACACAGATCCTAAAACCCTTTAAATTTCCTGAGTGATGGGGGTGTTAGAAGATCTCATAGAGTTCCTAAATCCCTTGGAATTTCCTGGGTAAAAGGAGTGTCTTGTTCTAAGGAGGCAACTTTTGGTGGGCTCCTGGGTAGCTTCAGGATAAGGGCTGGTCACCAGAAAGCCCAAGCTTTGATTAGAACCTTACAGCTTTCAGCCCCACCCCACATTCTCCAGGGAGAAAAGGGCTGGAGATTGAGTTTATAATCTATCATGTCTACATGATGAAGCCTTCATAAAAATCCCTATACAACAGGGTTCAGAGAACTTTCAGAGTGAACATTCCTGGTGCTAGGAGGGTGGCATTCCAGGAGAGGGCATGGAAGCTCCATGCTCCTGCATACCTTGCCTTTTGCATCTCTTCCATTTAGCTTTTCCTGAGTTGTATCCTTTATAATAAACTAGAAATAAGTAAAATGTTTTCCTGAGTTCTGTGAGGCGTTCTAGGGGAATTATCAAACCTGAGGAGAGGGTTGTGGGAAACCTTGATTTATAGTCCATTTATAGTGGGTTAGTCAGAAGGGTGGAAGACCTGTACTTCAGATTAGCATCTCACAGAACATTCGCTTTAGACAAGTTGGTCACTGCCCAACTTAAAATACCAAACATCCTCTCTTGCTAAATGAGCGACTGTTAAACTTTATTAATTTCAGCTTTATACCTGCAATGAGTAAGAAATCAAACTTGTTCAACTACAGGCGATGTTTTTGGTCTGGTCGAAGGGCATTTTAGGGTTAAGAGATGCAAGGAGAGGAATGGTGAAGGTAGGCGACTGGGAGGAGGGTGGCTTGTTTCAAAGGGGAACAGAGAAATACAATGGAAACCTGCAGGGAAACAAGGTCAAAGTTTTTGTTTTGTTTTAAGATAGAGAACTAACAGCATGCTTGTATGTTGAAGAAAACAAGGAGAGAGAAAGCAGTTGTGATCGTTAAGCTGGTGGATAACACACAGAGGTACAGGAACTAGTGCTTTAGGTAGGGTTGGCTTCAGGTGGGAGCATGGCTAGCTCACCTATGTGGTCCTGCGAGTGAGATCCTGGAATGTGCCTGGATGTGGTGGTGGTCCTGGTGTGTGTGGTCGTTCTCTTTCTGGTCATTTCAGAATTCTCAGTGAAGAGAGAAGGCAGAAATCCTGCCTCCTGTAAGTACCTAAATGCCCATCTGAATTTTCACACCTCAGTTCTTTTGTGCTTCTGTTTGAAAGAGGCTCATTCTTACCAGAATATTAACTTCCTAATAGCCATCCAGTTAGATGGAGAGATCCCAAATGTAGTCCCAAGAATAATGGAAGAAAACTGGATGTATGTACTGGTTGTACAGACCTGACTACAGAAAAAAATATTTCTTACTGTACATTTTCCAGGGGGTAGTCCCCTTCCTGCCCCCTACTCCAGGACAGGCCTTATAATGACAGTAAGAAAAAGTAAAATAAACAAAAAAGGAAGACACATTTTCTTGGAAGCCCTCCAGCCTCCCCAGCTGCTTTTACATAAAATCTTTGGGTTTTGGAAAAGATGCCAAAATCGATGGTCTTATTTTATTCTGACAGAAGCAAAAATTCCCCTGCACCAGTAACTACTCAAGTATGTCTAGTAACACAGAAAACGAACCTCAACTTTAAACAGAGGCCTTTCAGTTTCCTCCGTGCTTTGAGGAGATCGCAGAGAGGAAGAGGAACGTGTGCTTTCCAGTGCGCAAGCGCTGTCTGAGACCTGTTTCGTTTGCAAAGTAAACTTTTTTCCGGAGATCTGGCTAACATTGAAAATATTTAAATTAATTAAGTTTAAAGGTTCCTTACTTAGTTATATTTCTTCGGAGAAACCTTGAAATTCCCTAAGGGAACACAAAAAGTGCCGCCGCCCAACGTGGGGCTCGAACCCACGACCCTGGGATTAAGAGTCCCATGCTCTACCGACTGAGCTAGCCGGGCGCTCGAGATGCGGCCGCGTTTTTTCACCTCTTGGTCATTGCTCAGCTACATCACGTTTNCTCGAGATGTGGCCGCGTTTTTTCACCTCTTGGTCATTGCTCAGCTACATCACGTTTTCCTTCACTACTTCTTTAAAAATTGTATCATACTATTAGCTATGCACTTCCCAATTATTTTCAAGAATTCTTTAAAACATTTAATTGTATTTGAATTTAATAATTTCTATTGCTTGTGTATACCAAGATCACTGAAAACTTATGCAGGTCTTTATAATCACAAATTCATTCGTTGAATCTTTTCTCTGACGCGTTTTAAAATACTGCTTAATGTGTCATCTTTAAAAAATACCTATCAAGGCTACCCGCCCTCCAGCAAGTGGCATAATGATTCCTACAACGTGGGGGCAGCATTAAAAAACAAAGTTCAGTGCTCGCTTTAACAACACATACACTAAAATTGCAACGAAACAAGAGTAGATTAGCATAGCCCCTGCTCAAGGACGTCAGGCAAGTTTCTGAAGCTTCCATATTAAAAAAAAAAAAAAAAAAAAAGTTCATCCTCTAAGAGGTTACAATGCAAAACAGCAGAGGTTAGCTCTTTTCCTTTAATATGACCTAGTCAAGGAAAGTTAAATTGAGGAAGGGGATTCTGGTTCACTTAAAATAAGGCCTCTTTCAGGTAACTGCCTGACAATTGAGAGAGAGGACCCTCAGAGGTTGTTATTATCATTCAGGTCAAATAACAGAAACTGGGAGGAAAGAATTGTAGTCATTGCATCTTATGGTAAAGAATGTTAATTCTAAGAGGAAAGAAGAAAAACTGACTTTGATCAAATTATGGAAAGCTGAGACAACGGAATAATCCACATTATTAAGCAACTATTTATATTAAGGGACTATTTCCAGGTTAAAGGAGCCTAGAGACCTGCAACTGAATACAATGTGTGGTGTTGGATTTTATTTATTATTATTATTATTATTATTATTATTATTATTTTGCTATGAAGGGCACTATTGAGAGAATTGCCAAAATCTAAAAAAGTCTGTATATTAGAAAAGGAAGTATTGTTAATTTTCTGATTTTCATAATTGTCTTGTGACTGTAAAAAATATTGTTTGGGGGGGGAAATACTAATGAAGTATTTAGTCGTTTAAAAAGTGCTAATGGCCCTCCATTGGTAATAAGATTGAAATCTAAACCACTACAAGATGTGGCTCCATATCCACCTCTCTGATTTCACTTCCTGCCATCCCCCCACTTAATCACTGACAGGCCACGCTGTCCCGATCGTTCCTGTATCATGCCAAGCTCATACCCCTACAACAATCCCAAGTATCAGTTTAAAGTCATTCTGTAAGTACCAGCCTAAAGTGCAAACCTCCATTGTCTCTTCTACCTTCTTTAAGCAGTCTTATCCTTAATGCTAGCAAATAGTTGTATTCACAAAAAAGGTACTAATGCTTCTGTAAAATTCCTGAGCTCAAAGGTGAGATACCCTTAGAGTGCAACTTCCTTTGTCGTGAGGAAAGGTAGGTTGACGGGGACGCCCTCAAAATAATGGGTCAGAACCGGGACGCTAAGTGTGGAGGGAGGCATCCCCCCAATCGCTTTCTTGGGCCTTGGTAAGAACGTCTCTCCGCTTTGCTCTAAGAAAGAATGAGGTATCGAAACAGAGGGATAATACAATTCTTAGGTAATGGAACAGAGCAGCTTCTCAGAAAACCCGTTGGCTCAAAATGGCTCAATAACACTCACGAGCGAAACTGAAGAGGAGGAACCCCTACGTTCCCCTAACCCCACCTCCATTGTTTTCTGCACTAGCGCGCCGCCCGCAACGTTGGTCCCCTCCTTTTCCCACAATCCTCTGTTCCCGGGCTCAACGCCGAGGAACTAGCCACAGAGAAGGCTATTGGTTGAAAGAGCAGCCAATGAGAGAGCCCGTTACTAGTCTGCGTGCCGCGCTGTAGGGGGAGCGCATTAGGCCCTGCAGCCCTACGCGTTCCGCTGGTGTTTAGCAGGATGAGCTCCATCGGCACCGGGGTGAGTTCGTTGTCTCACGATGTGATCGTCTGGTCGAAGGATTAGCGCTGAAGGAAGGCGGACAGACCGCTTGGGGTGCGCCAGTTCGGGGTGCATGGGAATGCCTTCGGCCTAGCGTGCCGCTTCCACTTGTCTTTCCCACGCTTGTTTCTAGGCCGGAGCCTGCGGTGACGGTGACCTGAAGCCTTTAAGCTCAGGTGTGGCGGGCCTGGCGGCGCAGCAGTAAAATATGGAGCCGCTTTGGATCGCTGAGTCACTTTCTTTGGCCTCTCAGGGAAACCGAAAGTGGAGACTCGTGGGGCCTGAAATAGTGCAGGGTTTGGGCGTCAGCGCCTCTTGAGAACCACTGAGGCCCGGCGGCTTGAGATTCCAAGATCCGAGGCGCGGCTTTCGGTGGACAGTTCCATGCAGTTGCTAGGGTGCTGCTGACTCACGGGCCCTTCTTCCTCTGCCCTCCGAGTGTGGCGATCGCTCAGTAGGACTCCCTGGGAACGTGTCGGGACAGGACATACAAGAAAAATGCCTGAAAAGTGAAGCCTGAAGACTACTTTCCGTTTTTCTTTTGTCCCAGCTTTTCCTGTACAGAGTACTTAACAGCACACCGCCGCAAACATTGAAATGATTAGCCAGGGACCTAACCGCTTCTGACTTAGTAGACAAGCCTGTTGAGGATTTTGAAGTTAGACTGGACTTGTTGGGCTTACTACTTTCCTTTGTTAAACGTACTGCGTATATACAATCTTTCGCTTTCTCCCTTTATGTATTTCTCCATATAGAAAATACAGTTTTTTGTTTAGAAATATATAAGGGTTGTTTGCATTAAGGCTTTGAATAAATGGGTTTCTTAGTTCATCTAATTCTTCAGTTCCTAAGATTTTGATACTGAGTATTAAGCCGAAATACTGGTTTTCCAAGTTTGATAGCAGGTAGCTTATGTTTGGAATGGTTTATTTCATTGGATTATGTGATGCTAAAGTTATGTCATTTTTTGTTGTTGTTGTTAGTAATAGTAGTTGCTCAGTAATGCATATTGTAACAAATTGACTTTGCAGCTGCTTTAATATTACCTTCGATTGATAGTTTCATTTTACAAACCCTATGAAAATACTTGATAATATAACCATGTGAGATATTTTGGCATTACAGTGGTAGATGTTTGTTTTACACATCAGGAAACAAACTCAGGAAGCACCACTGTTGAGGGCTTATCTCCTGTCTTTGCTTCTAAGAACTCTGAATAAGAAGAACTGTCTACGTGACATTTCTCTCTACTTGCTTGTTTAATAGGCATTTCAAACTACATGTCCCAAGTAGAAATCTGGTTTTTCTTCTCCCCTTGTCATTTTGCATCTCCTGCAATCTTCCATCTTCAGTGAATGGTCCAGTTCTAGTTGCTCAAATGAAAAAAAAATAAATCTGTGACTCACCTTTAATTTCTTTTTTACTTCTTACTTGCATCTCTACAATCTTCAGCTCAATGAATGGTCCAGTTCTAGTTGCTCAAGTGAAAATAATCTGATTCACCTTTCTTTTTTACTTTAGTCCTAGAGTCAATCCATTAGCAGGGTTTTTTGGGGGGGGAAGGGGAGGGTCTCTACCATCAAAACATCCTGCCTTCTGTCTCTTTTTCTCTAGTCAGAGTACCACCTTTGGAATACCTGATCTCTGCTTCCACTCTTGTTACCTCTGCAATTCATTTTTCAGATGAATGATGCTTTAAAAAAAAAAATTAGATCATATCACCCCGTTTAAATTCCAGTGACTTCCTATTGCATTTAGAATAAAATATAAACTTCCTACTCCAGCCTAGAAGACTAAACATAGTTTGGCCCTCACATGTCATGCTCTAATATAGTTTTCTCACTACCATTTACAGTGCTCAAGACACAGTGGCCTTCTTTCTTTTCCTTGATTGTGCTAGGCTTCTTTCTACCTTAAGGTCTTTATGCCAAATGCCAGGATGGCTCCTCCATATACTAAATGTCTATTTACTCCTTATTTAGGTGTGACTCAGTCTAAATAACTAAATATAACTGCCCCAGCAAGGCCTTTCCTGATTAGGTAGTCTGTAGTAGTTCCTCTGACTATCACTTCAACCTGTTTTATTTTCATTATAGTCCTTTTTCTGGGTTAGTGCTGTATCTCTAGCACCTAGCTTTGTGCCTGGTCTGCTTTGTAATGAAGAAGTTCAAGAATTACGCTTATTAAATGTTTGAATGCTAAATTATTTGTCAAAGGTCCTTTACTTATTGCCACAGCTATGAATTAGAATGTTCTGAATCCAGTGCTATTTCTGCCATACCATAGTAATTATTTTCAAAAGTGAGCTTTGAGTTTTGTGTGAAAAAAGTTGATTTTATCTAGGACTTGTATCTATCTATTGCTTTTCAGTAAATCTAAAGTGTATAACTTTTCCCTTAGCTGCTGTTTCTACTCTGATACACTAAAGCAAAGTCTTTGTTGAGAGTTAACACACATTTCTGATGTGTAAGCCATTTAGAGAAAAAAAAAAGTGAAGTTATTACTGCCAAACTTACATCATTATAGGCTTATTGTTGCCTCTTTCCTCCTAGTATGACCTGTCGGCCTCTACATTCTCTCCTGATGGAAGAGTTTTTCAAGTTGAATATGCTATGAAGGCTGTGGAAAATAGTAGGTAAGAAACATTGTTTTATTTGAAATTAGCCTATTTAACCAGTTATTAAATATCTCCTTTTTTATATTTTTGGTACTTAGCCTTTGCTTTGTTACTTTGATACAAAATAATATGTACCTTAAAATAATCTCAATTTATTAGTCATTTCCAGATCTCTTTTTAGGCCAGATCTTTTCATGAGCGCCAGCCTTGTATTTCCAGTTGATGCCAGTATTATCCACTTGGACATTTTACCATGTCTCAAATGTGGTGTATAAAACCAAATTCATTATCATCTTTGCTAGCCCATTTCCTTTTAAAATTCTTGGTTTATCCCTGGTTGGTATGGCTCAGTTGGTTAGAGTGTCATCCGGTACACCAAAGGGTGGCAGGTTCGATTCCTGGTCAGGGCTGTGGGTTCAATTCCCTGTTGAAGCACGTGCAGGAGGGAACTGATTGTGTTTCTCTCTCATCAGTGTTTCTCTCTCCCTCTTCCTCTCCTAAAAAAAAAAAAAAATCAATAAAATTGTTTAAAATAAATAAAATTCTTAGTTTATATCATTGTTTTCCTTGGCCATTAGGTTTGTGACTTGTATTTGTGTTTTCCTTATTTTATTTTTTTACTATTTATTTATTTTTACTCATCACTGGAAGATGTTTTTGATTGATTTTAGAAAGAGAGGAAGGGAAAAGGGAGAGAGAGAGAAACATCATTGGGAGAGAATCAACATCCATTGGCTGCATCGTACACGCTCCTCCACTGCGGATCAAGCCTGCAACCTGGGCATGTGCCCTGACCAGGGGAATTGAACCTGCAACTTTTTGGTTCATGGGTCACGCTCAACCAGTGAACCACACTGGCCGGGCTAAGCTCAGTTTTTTAAATAATAATGAAAGGTTTTGGAGTACAGGTAGACTAGGGAAATTTTAGAGTTTTAGAAAAGTCCACATATAAATGCTGAGTTGTTCAAATTTGTACTAGTACCTTATATATGATTATGGAAGTTTCATGAGGGTGGAGACTGTTATTTGTCTTTCCATGGGCTATCAGTTAGCAAGCCCTCAATAGTTATTGAATGAACAAACAGATGGTCATTTGTTGTGCCATCTTCTGAGTGGTAGAAGGAAGGTATCTGGATTTCTAATGGTTTATGAAATATTTAAGATATTTTGCACAAAAATACATTTTAAGTCCTATTATAGGATTTGAAACAAAGCTAGTTTATTTTGTGTTTAAATGTTGTATCATTAGACATATTGTTATTTACAAGCTGTTGGTATCTGATACTATAATAGAAGTAAGGCTGTTAAGAACTTAGGCTAAAATGTATTTGTCATTGTATACAAAGCCTTTGAGAGTTCAGAAGAGAGTCAAATTCAAGAAAAAAGTTGACACATTTTCTTCCTGTTGATAAAGGAAAATTGGCTCTTAAACTAGGGAGCTAGAGAAAGAACTTGAGGAAGTTACTGGTTTTTTCCTCCTCTGCATTCTTGCACCTTCATTAGTGTAAAAAACTTAAGAGAAGTATTGACTAAGAAAATCTTGAAAATACATTTTTAAACCATCTGTAACCCAGAAAATTGAAGCTAAGCTATGGGGATCTGTGTATCTTAGTAATTTGTTTTCTATTAAGTATTTCTAAATATGGTTTAAAACAGCTTTATTTAAGTAAAATTGGAATTAAAAAAAATTAAAACATTATAAATGAATGTTTTTTCTGCATAAAGAAAAAACAGGGTAAGTTCCTCTTTTAAAGGGATCTACGTAACCTGGTATGATAGAGTATTGTATGATGATCACAAATGTGAATTTTACACCCCTGCCAGGTAAGCTCAGTTGGTTAGAGCATTGTCCCCATATGTCAAGGTTGTGGGTTTGATCCACGGTCAGAGCACATACAAGAAGCAACCAATGATGCATAAATAAGTGGAACAACAAACTGATATTTCTTTCTCTCTCATTCTCTCTCCCTAAAAATCAATAAATTAAAAAACATTTCTTTAGAAAACAAGATGTGAATTTTTCTCCTAGCTGCTACTTAATAGTGATGTTGTATAAGGTTCCTCTATTCAGTCTTCTGAATGTTAGTTGTAGACATCTACCCTAACTACTTCATATACCTGACAATAAGAATGAAATAAATATAAAAACATTTGGAAAATCTTTTATGTGCTGTGTGGGCACAAAGGTGGAAATTAGAAAAATTAGATTGTATGTTAATTTTCTTAAGAGTCTGGCATATAAACTAATAGAAAACATTTAACCATTTAAGTAAATAATTGATTTAAGATTATATTTCTGCATTGAATGATGATCACTTTTTTTAAAGAAAGAAATTTAATCTTGGGAATTTAAAAGTGAAATATTTTTGAGTACCTGTTAACTATGGGAACTACCAAATTAATTAATGACATGTATGTTAATACTTAAAAGCACTGTATTACAATATGTATACCATGATCATAATTTTATAAAAGTATGCCCCTAGAATAGGGGTGGGGAATGTCCAGCTCACAGGCTATGTCATTTGGTCTGGGCCTGTCAAGGCCTCACCAAAGAGAAGCAGTTCCAGCCATCACATTAGGGGTGAGTTAATTAAATGTTTGACCAAATATAGCAGGTTATATTTTAAACTGATAATTTTGTATGGCTCACAAATGACGTTATAAATATCTAAATGGCCCTTGGCAGAGAAAAGGTTCCCCATCCCTGTCCTAGAAGGTAATATGCAAAAGATTAAATTATAATCTTCCCCTTTAGCCTCATTGTGGAATCTTGATATGAAGAAGACTGTGAAATATAATATAAGGATTATACTGTTGAGAAAAAAAATGTACACAAAATTTTGGTGTCAGAACCTCTTTATACTTGAAAAAAACACAGGGCCTCAAGAGTATTTTTAAAAAGTTTATTTTTATTGTTGAAAGTATTACAGATGTCCTCTTTTTTTCCCCATTGACCTCTTCTACCCTGCACCTGTGTCCCTCCCACCCCAGAAAGAACATTTCTTATATAGGCTATAGGTTCTATCAGTATTTACTGTGACCCCAAAGAGCTTTTATTTACTTAGGTTATTGGTCCTATTAATATTTACCATGTTAGATTTTAAAACAAAATTTAAAATGTTAATTCATTCAAAATAACAATAATAAACACAATTTTGCATGTTAACATAAATAATTTAAATTATTATTAAAAATATTTAATATTAGTAACATTTTAAATGAAAAATAACACCCAAAATGTAAAGAAAAGTATAGTGAAAAGAGTGGCATTGTTTTACATTTTTATAAATCACAGTAGTTGATTGAAGCTTAATAGAAGACAGATCCCCTTATCTGCGCCTGCTTCAGCATGTTGTTACTTGTATTGAAGCATGTGAAGCAAGTCAGGCTTCATGCAGGTATGTAGTTGGAAAAGTGAGGAGTATTTTAATAAAGGCTTTTCAGATAATTACAGATGTTGTTCTATGATACTATACCAAAACTAGACAAACGGTAATTTCTTAAAAGTTTTTTTGCAGTGTGGTGTCTAAAAGCTTAACAGTAAACTTTTTGTACATGGAAATTAAAGTCTGTTGGGTTGTCTTGCACTTTGGATGTTTTACCTGTGCATGCTCTGTAACATTATGAATTGGTCATTTGGAAAATACTGGTTTACTGAGTTATAACAGATCTTTCAAATTTGACATATGTTGTTATAAACTCTCAGAAACATCACACTTGTTACTATCACCATCAATCTGATCATAAAAGCTTTTAAGTACTGGGAAACACTAGCTCACGGGTGAATGTGATTCCCCCAATTCCAAATACCTGAGTGTCAATAACCCTGGTTTGTCCAATGCTCATTGACGGTAAAAACAGGTAGTCCATAAGAAAATTCACAACTCTAAAACAGTTTTTCCAGGGCTTGTTCCTTTAGGTAATCATTGTATTTCGATATACAGCAGAAGTACTTTGAGTACCTTCCATTTCAGTATGATAATAAAAAGGCAGGTGCTTAAAGATTGTGATCTAATTAAAGTAATTACTGCTGTATCAAGGACATTCTCAAACTAAAAGTTGCTTTTTTTTTTTTAACTTGAGAGCATAGCAGTGAAGAATACAATTAGTATTCAACAATACAACTACTACCATTTTTTGTTATTGCCTTGATTGGTGTTAATGGCCAGCAGTTTTATCCACTAGTGCTTCTGTATTGTACCATTAGTACAAATGTCCATGCAGTGGAAAGGGCAAATGATGTCTTTGTATTTTTTTGAAAATAATTTAGACCTCACAGACCCCTTTGAAAGGGTCTCTGGGATCCCTAGGGGGTTCACAGACCACACTTTTCAGAACTTTTAGTTTAGAATAACTGTTCAGTGAGGAAGATGACGTGGAATAACTAGGAAAGGCTATCTGAGGCTGAAGAGTTTAAGTTGAAGTGACTTTGCCAAAGTTTGTAGAAATTTATTTAAATACGCAGTGGTGAGGAGAAAGCATATTCTAGCACCCAGGGTAACCTCAATGAAGACTTAATAGCAAAAATGAACATAAGGTGTTTGAGGGATGATGGTGAGGTTGAATTCAGTAGAGCAGTGGATTTGTAAATAGGATGGATTTTGCAGATTCTCAGGATTTTTGGAAGGTGGGCCAAGGAGTTAAAACGTGAAAGGGGAGCCATCGAAGATACCTGAAGTGTGGGAGAAGGAGTGTCTGAAATTCTTTGTAGTATGTGTACATAGCCCTGTTCATTTTTCTGGTTGTTTCTAATCAGAATTCCCTTTATTAAAAGGATTAGAAGAATAAAGTAATTAATGTATTTTCATCTTAAAATGGCAACATAATTTCTCCACATTTTACTTAATAGATTATTTTAAGAGCTATTTTGTTTTAAACAGTTGTACAAAACATATGTTTTATTCTTTTATATGCTTATAAGCCATACATGGTTAGTGCAGAAAAAGCAAATGAGCAAAAGAAAGAAAAAGAATTATAATCTCTTCACCCAAGTCACTGTTAACTTTTTAGCTTGTGTATAGCCTGTCTTTTCTATGCATATTATGTACCTTTTTTTTTTAAAGGTTTTATTTATTTATTTATTTATTTTTAAAAAATATATCTTTATTGATTTCAGAGAGAGGAAAGGAGAGGGAAAGAGAGAGACAGAAACATTGATGATGAGAGAGTCATTGATCGAGCCCACAACCCGGGCATGTGCCCTGACCGGGAATCAAACCCCGATTGCCTGGATCCCAGGTCGACGCTCAACCGCTGAGCCACGCCCGGCCGGGCATTATGTACCATTTTTAATGGACATGAATTTAGTAAACATTTGTTATAATATGGCTATCATATGCCAGACACTGCCATTTTGTACATATTTTGTTGGCATCTTTTTTCACTTGTGTATTAATATTCTTTTATGTCATAATATAGATTCTTTTGATGACATGATTCATTTATATGGATTAATCTACTACACGTTAGGTAGTTTCCCCTTTCTAATTTTCAAATGCATTTGTTTTAAAGTACTTGCCATGCTTTAAAAAACTAAGTGTTACCTATTTTTGTGTTTCAATTGATTTTCTTCTGCTTGTTTCAGTACAGCTATTGGAATCAGATGTAAAGATGGTGTTGTCTTTGGGGTAGAAAAATTAGTCCTGTCTAAACTTTATGAAGAAGGGTCCAACAAACGACTTTTTAATGTTGATCGACATGTTGGAATGGTAAGGTGACATTTAAAAATGTTCCTTTAAGTAACTGATTGGAATATATTAAAATGTGATTATAAGAATCCATTTATTACTTTAGTGTTGAGGCAGAAACAGATTAGACAGCAGCCACAGAGGTAATCACAGAGAGTGAATAGTTCACTATCTGAAAGAAAGGTAGCAGTCTCATAACTTGATCGGAAAGAGAGATGAAAAACCAAGTTGCCTTAAGGAGGAGGGGAGAAGGGTGAGAAGTATGTGTAGAAAAGATATGTTGGCAGCATAGATCACTGATGAAAGCATATTCTTGAGAGGCAAAGAATCTTTAGGTCTTTGTATCCCTTGTGGGGATCACTGTCATACTGAAGATGTTACCAGATAAGGAATACCTTTATAGTCAGGTGGAGCAGCAGGAAAGGATGTTTAATGAAAAGAAAAGTGAACACATCCTTTTTAATAGTTTTATAGGCATCACTGTATTTAAATTATTTTATGCAGCTGATATCTTGGACTGCTTTGCACAGTTGCAAGGCAAGTCATAAATACATGAGTGGTGTATACTGGTGTCATCCTATGTGGGTGTCAGACTTTCTTCAGTAAGAACAGCCTAAAAAGGAAAAGAAAGGATTCTAACCCTGCTTACTGAAAAGGCTAGGAAGAAAAGAGAAAACTTGTGTGCAAGGTACTATGCTAGAGGCTCTTCACACAAATTATCGCTTTAATCCTGACAACCCAGTGAGAGTAATATTAATCCCACTTTTACAGATGAGAAAACAGACCTCTATAGCTGGTCAAGATATAAGCTGAGATTCAGACTTTTGGGATTGCATGGCCTACATATTACTCCAGAACCCATTCTGCAGAGTGAGATCCTGTAGAACACACTCTGCTGTTAGCTTTGGTATTTCTAAATAAGATGTGTTACACACAAACACAAAAATGACTGGTAAAATATAACCAGTAAACTATAAGCTACAGATAAAAAATTTTTTTCCTCTCCAATATGTTATTTCTGAACATATTTTCTCTCATGAACAAATTTATTATTCCCAGTGAAACTTGCCACATTGCAGTGTAGCCGATAGGAGAGGAACTAACGAATTAGGCATTCTTTCACTTAGAAAAACTTTAAGTTAGAGGTATGTTGAAAACAGTAATATATGCTTATAGCACTGTAGTAATGGAAAATTATCCTAGAATTTTCAGATTTTTACTGTTTGTTATTTAAAGCCAGGAAACGGATGGTATTCCTTATAGCCAGAAATTGGCAAAACATTAGACATTGAAGAGGGTTAGGAACAATGAAGGACTGTTTTGTTTCCACAGTTGTCATCTTCAAGTGATTTGAGAATTTTAAGACTTCACAATAAACTTTCTCCAAAGCAATAGATGATTTAAATGGTAACATTTACTGACTAGGTAACTTTGGGAAAGTCACACTAAACACTAGGTTCCTCACTTGCAAAACTACAGTGCTAATGATACCTATCTCATACAGTTCTTGGCAGGGTAAAAAAATAATTATGTAAAATACTTATTAGCATGTAATGAGTGCTCAATATGTGTTAGGAATTTTCATCATTGTTACTTTTAGTAGGTATAAGTAGATAAAAGGCTATTAAAAATTCTGATACCACTTCTAACTTCTGCATATTTCCTAAACAAGTCCAGACTTTGTTGGTTCCTAGTCCCTGTGTTCCAGTAATTTTTTTTAATGGCTTCCATATGCCAAAAAAATACTCAGTGGTTCTATTTGTTATGTATTTAGGTCCAAACAACTTGGTGTTTGTTCTAAAGACTAGCTATTAAAAAATACACGTATAATGAAATAAATATATATGTTTTTTATTTTTAAACAGTCACAGTGTGCACTGTGCAACTTCTAAACTTTGGGATCAGATTACATGCTGCCCTCATTTCCTGTTCCACATTGATTTTTGCACAATATTTTTTATCACAGCAACCCAGCTTTTCAGTGATATGATGATGTATTGAAAGGAGTGTAGGATGATCTGATGTTGAAACTATGAACTGCTTTGACAAATGTTTCCCCCAAACTTAATGTCCACAGCTCTTGAATTCACTACAGTGCTGTAGGCTATCTCAGTACATCGTTTGGTAACTGCAGTTGTAAGCCACCAATCTGGGACGATATGTGATTTGTCATGTTTTGGTTTGGCATTACAATTTATTAGTCAGTAGGCTGAAAAAGGAGACTTGAGGTTGTGCTGTTTAGAACAAAACTTTTAATAATTTTTTGAACGTAGAACTGCTTTAAATAAAAGATTAGTCCTTACCGAGACCAAAAGTTTTCTTCTTTTTGTTGTTGTTCTATTCTTTATAATGAAGTGGTAAGTGGAGCGATATGGAGGATTGATTATAGAAATATTCCTTCTGAATGTGATCACTGGACAAAGCAGTAAAGTCATACTTGATAAATTTCTAAATTGTAATCCCATACCCATGCATCAAAATGCCAGGATGCCTTACAAAAACCTTCAAGCCAAGAAAACTTTTTAATGGTGATGCTTGTTAAATATTTTGAAAGCCTACAATAATTATATACTTTACCTGATTTATGATAGGTGTATTATTAAATTGGTACTTCTTTTCTTTCAGGCGGTAGCAGGTTTGTTGGCAGATGCTCGTTCTTTAGCAGACATTGCAAGAGAAGAAGCTTCCAACTTTAGATCTAACTTTGGCTATAACATTCCACTAAAAGTAAGTTGACAACTTGGTGAGGAGGCTTTTGAACAGTAATAGGAGTTTATTGATAAGCTCTTCTGTTTTCCTCCCTTCCCCCAGCATCTTGCAGACAGAGTGGCCATGTATGTACACGCATATACACTCTACAGTGCTGTTAGACCTTTTGGCTGCAGGTATGAAATTTTCTGAGATATTCAGTCAGATCTGTTCTATAGATCTGTTTTTCCCAGCATTTTAGCCTTTTATACCCTTAAAAATATGAATTGTTACTAAGAAGTATTAGGCTAGTGATTGAATACATCACTGTACATAAAAATAAAAACTTTGAATAGTGAAAAACACTATATAGACTTGAGCCGAAGAGAAAAGAAAACTCATAGTAATAACTTTAATCTGATTATAATACAGTCTCTGGAGGAAGGTGGTCTGGTCTACAGGTATAAACCTCCAGTTGTAAGATACATAAGTACTAGGGATGTAATGTGCAACGTGATGACTATATTAACATTGTTGTATGATGCATAGGAAAGTTAAGAAAGTAAATCCTAAGAGTTCTCATCACAAGGAGAAAATATTTTCCTCTTTTTTGTAATTATATGAGATGATGGGTATTAATTAAACCTATTGTAATCACTTCACAATATTTGTAAATCAAACTATCAATGCTGTACATCTAAAACTTTGATACGAAGATGTATGTCAGTTATTTTTCAATAAAACAAAACAACTCTCTGATGTTAGACCCAGACATTTTCACGAAACTGCAAACCGACATTCTGTGTTGTCATTATTAGGTAGCCAACTATACTGGCACCTCAGTGTTCTCATTAATTTCCATCTGCATACTTTAAACAGTTAGGTAAAATGCTCTTAAATGGGAGTTTTTTAGCATTCAATAACATGCATACAAGATTACATGTCAAGTTTCTGTTAGTCTCAGTTTCTTATTGTTAAGGTGGAATGCTGATATTTTTATTTTGGGGGAAAGCTGGGATTCAGTTGCATCAAGACCTAGAGTAAATATTCAAATGTGGCTTCTCAGAGATCTGTCATGACTCGCGATTTCCCTCAAATAAAAAACATGTTTAGTTTGTAACTTTTAAAAAATAAGTCAATCATATTTCATTAAAATAAACTAATTTACTAATATGTCAGTGCTTGCCACTGTTAAAAGTTGTAGAAAGTTAGTTTATTAGCTTTAGTCCTACCTTAGAGTTGTTTATAATCACCATATTTAAATTACTGAGGACAGATACTAGAGAAAACCTGAGTGTTACTAGTTGTTCTTAAGGTTCTCACTTAAATTATATTATGAAACATTTTGCTTTCAGACTTCATAGAATAACTTCCACTTTTAACCTTTCAACTGAGCTCTTAATTCATTAGTTCTGTTTTTAAGGGGGAGAGAATAGTGGAGATGAGAAAACTTTTCAGTAAACATTGAGCATGTACTGTGAGTCAGTCATAAGTCAGTCACCATTGATGTGACTTTAGAGATAATGTGATAAAGGTATGTATGTACTGCGTATAGCAGGGCACCCGTTAGGGAACAGCCTCTTTCTGGAGAGTTGGCAAGAAAAGGAGGATGTGAGATGTGGGGGGATTAAGGGTTTTTATTTCAAGCAGAGGTACTGGTATGAAACTGCATGGGAATTTCAGGTAATGCAGGGTAGTCAAGTGTACTTGGTGTGTCGACTATGAGGTTTAGATGACATTGAAGACATAGGAAGGGGCCAGGTCATATAGAAGTCTGTTCCATACTGAGAAAACACTGAAGGGTTTTTAAATAATGATAATCATTTATGTAATCTGAAAGATAAGTCTCATAGCCATGTGGAAGATGGAAGGGAATGATGTTAGGGGTGGGAATTGGACTGGTGGCTGTCATGGTATTCTGTACATGAAATGATACATAAGATGAGGCTGGTTTCTTCTCTACTTCTGAAGGGAAAGGAAAGAATTTCAGAATATCAGTAATTCACATGATTGTTTAATATTCTAATTTTAATTTGTTGAGTATATAAAAATTCATTGAGCCAGTTTGGATTATTGCAGAAAAATAACTGGAGGAACACTAGGAGATAGCCAAAAAAGAATGAAGGGTGGAACAAGAATTTGAGGTAGATTCAGTGTGTTCACATCAGGAATTTTGTCATCTTGGCTTTTTTCATATTTATATTTTTACCTATTGGGCCCTCTTACTAGTTTTCCATCTATAATTACTCCTTTGTCTACACAGCTATCCTTCCAGGAAAATTTCATTAGGAAGTTTAATACTAACAAACAATGCCACATGAATTTTGAACAGTTTCAAAAACATACTAGTTTTTATTAAAACTACCTTATCAAAGCGTGTAATGAGTTACGTGTATATAAGTAATTTATCTTAAAAAGTATAATTAAAAAAAATTTTATCTTTATTGTTGAAAGAATGTCATCCCCCTTTTCCCCCCATTGACCCCTTCTACCCCACTCCCCACCCCAGGCCTTCCCCACACTACTGTCCGTGTCCATGGGTTATGCATTTATGCATATAAATTCTTTGGTTAATCTCTCCCCACCCCCGCCTTCCCTCTGAGATTCGTCAGTCTGTTCCATGCTTCTGTGTCCCTGAATCTATTTTGTTCATCAGTTTATTAAGTTCTTTAGATGAGATTTTGTGATATGTAATTTCATTTTTATCAGTTTTTTAAATACTTTTATGGTATTAAGAACCATGGTTTAAACAATTAATTACTTTTATGCAGTTTCATGTTAGGGTCTTACAGTGTGAATGATGGTGCACAACTCTACATGATTGACCCATCGGGTGTTTCATATGTGAGTAATTTTTAATCATATGGAATTCTATTTTTAGTTTAATGGTATGTTATTAGCACTGAAATCAGATATTTAGATTATATGAAGTTTCTTTAAAATTCATTCAAGGAAAGTAACATTTTATCTATCATTAGTAACATAACCTGTGGATATGAGGCAGAGGAAAGATTTGTAGTTTTCAGTATGCTGTTTATAAAAACTACACAGTGAACATAAAATTTTGAATATGTGTTATTACTATAAATAGTAGCAGTGTATTAAAACCATATATTTCCCTTTTAAAAAGGACTTTATATGGGATTACTTGGACCTTTCTCTGTCTTCTGAGATTTTTTACTAATTAAAGAAAAAAAGACTATATTGTCATTATACACAAGTATAAATGGACATTCTTTAATTTAAAAAATAACCTTTATAATTTAAATAATAAAGAATTATGGTTTAGAGTATAAAGTTCAGGAATTTCTTTCAGAAATAATTTTTTTCATTGTTACGATGCTAAAATAATTTTTCATTCCTACTCTCAAATATGTCTCTAGTTCATGAAGTATTTATAATGATATAATTTGTTTTTCTTTGGATATCCCTTTATTAAAAATAATCTGTATTATTCTAGAATTAAGTTTGGTTATTTTAAATATTTTGAGTCCCTTGGTGTTCATTAGAATATGTTTGACAGTATTTCTCCATACTTGCTTTTGAAAGTCATTTAACATTCTTTCATTAACCTTTAAATAGAAACAATAGTCATCAATGATTTATGCTAGTATGTTAATTGAATATATATATTGGTGTGTGTTCTTTTTAAATAGGGTTATTGGGGCTGTGCTATTGGCAAGGCCAAGCAAGCTGCAAAGACAGAAATAGAAAAGCTTCAGGTAATACATACTTACTGCTTGTATTTTTGTTATAACATTATCCTCATGTAATGAAGTTTTATCACTGCAAACGAAATCTTTTCTACCAAAGTTTGCTGTTTCTAGCAGAGCTGAGAGTAGGAAAGCTGGTAACATATTACTTGTAGAATTGTGTCATGGATCCCTTCATGATTTTGATGTCTGCTTACTATAAACCCTTAATCCAAACATTATCATATAATTTCACAAAATCCTTCAAGTCCATTCATGAAACCCTATGAGCCGTCTTAGGTTGAGAACTTTGGTGTTTTATTCTATCATTTCTTTCTTCTCTGGAGCACTTTTGTCTAAATCTTACATTAAGAGCCTCACTCCTCCAGTGCTTCTCTTTGTTCCTACCTACATAAGACATGAAACCCTGTCCTGTTTCAACTGCCTACTTTTTCTTCCCCCAAGAGCCAGAAATTCATTTTTAGTGTAAAGAAGTTTTCTTAAAAGTTTGTTGGTTTTCCTTTTAGCCAAATTGATCAACTTAATATTGAAACAGTGTCTACCAACTCTTTATTGCTTCTCAGAAACTTCCCTAAAAGGCAGGCATATGATTTAACATTTTGGCAAATTGTACTAAGAAAAAATTTCATATACATTTAATATTAAAGGGGGACTTTGCTGTACTCATTCAACGTATTTAAGGCAGGCTCTAGAACATCTTTTTAGTGCTTGAAATTTAATGCCACATTCTAGACCTATGAAGCCTAACTCATGTTTGGTATTTTAATGAAATTGATAAAAGGACCTTACACATCAAGAAAAGCCCTGGGTTAAATATACTGGCTAGAATCAGAGTTAGGTTGGTTATGAATAGTTCCTAGACCTTATGACTTTTAGACCAGTGTTCTTTTCCGTCACACACTTCCTGGTGTAGTGCTAAGTTCCTATCTTCTCGTTTCCCTTTTGCTTTCATTTTTCCTTATTATTGTGTAGAAGTTTGAAGAGAGTATTTAGAGCAGTCTTTTTGTCTTTCTGAGATGAAATCCTGGCAAGGAATGGGAATACCAACACATCCTAGCAAAAAATTGAGAAGAGATCACTTTGCTTGAGGAACATATATATCTAAATGACAAAAACATGCTCTAAAGCAGGTCAACAAACAATGTACACTTTCTACTTTTATTCAGCCTATGGCTACTTTCACACTACAATAGAGTTTGATAGTTGGGACAGACCGAAGATCATATGGACCATAAAGTCTAAAATATTTACTTTTTGGCCCTTTACAGAAGGAGTTTGCCAACCGCTGCCCTGTATCTATGCTCTGGCCTGTTTTTCTTCTGATGTTCTGTTTACCAAAAATATTTTGTGAAATAAAAACTTCATTAACATATGTAAAAATATATTTAAAATGTGCCCTTTTCACGTTTGCCTTTGTATGATACTATTAACTTACTAAATGTAGAACTTGACCCTTAAGGGCAAAAGTATAAAGAGTGGTATTCCTTTTCTTTCACTTTGCTCCTAATTTAACATGAAAAAATTTAATCAGAAAAGATATGAATAGTACAATAAATGTCTGCATCTAGATTGCAGTTAATGTTTTCAAACATTTTATCCATTTGTATGCTATTTTTTCTAAATAATTTGAAACAGAAATTGCCATCATGACATTGTATCCCTAAATGCTTCAGCATTCATCTCCTTCTAATAATACCATTATTACACCTAAGATATCATCTGATATTCAGCCCATAATCGAGATGCCTCAATAATCCTAACAATGTCATTTGTAACTTTTTCAAACATAATTAAGGTTCACACACTGAATTTGTTTCTTATATCTTCTAATTTGTCCTTCCCCCCAATATTAATTTTTTGAAGATCGCATGCCAGTTATTTTTGTAGTTGGTTCCATATATTAGATTTGTCTATTTCCTAACAAGACTGGTATTCTTAAATTTAATTCAGAATTAGGATTTTTGTTGTTGTTCCTGCTTCCTCATATGGTTGTGCAGGCGCAGAGCATCAGGATTTTAAAATCTAAGTATGTACCAAGAATAAAATATTAATGAACCTGTTTAGAGAGAAAATTGAGTCACCTCAAGTCTGACTGTTTTATGAGCACCCTGTATCTTTCAGCATGTCTGTCCTCCTCAGCACATCCAGAGTATGAATGCCAGTTTGCTCTTTTCATCTTGTCAAGTGTGTTCAGAAACCCATATGCCTAATAAAGTCTTGCATTGGTTATTTCCAGTACCTACTGTTACATAAACTCCTCTGCTGGGCATCTAAGGGCTGTTTCTCTACCCTGATTTCCAGATTTTTCACTGTAAGAATGCTAATTCTAGTAAGATTATAGCTCCCCACTTTTGCCTTGTGCATTTCATTTCTCTGCCTCAAAATCAAACCAAATCCAGCTATGTTCTAAGAACCCACTCAACTCTTGTTCTTCAAAGTTTTCACCAACATTTTGCACTTTTGTCTTGAATTTTGTCTTTAATAATTCCACAAAAGACAGTTTTTCTTAATCATGTCTGGGTATCTTGTATATAGTAAGGCATGTCTGATTTGTTTGCATTTTATTATCCCAAATTGGCTATAAAGAAAAAAAATTTCTCCAGTCTTAAACTTAAGGTCTGCCTGTGAATAGACTCATAAGGGGGTCTGGAGTTTTATAAATTTTAATACTTATCACAAAACTAGTAGTGCCCAGATGAGGGTCATCCAAAGTATGTTTTATTATAATTTAAAAACATTAAACTGAATCAAGAAACTTAGGTTGTGGTCTTTTGGGATTTTAGGTGATTTTGCTTGGTTTTATATCTGAGAATCTCTCAGGAGCATGGGTTGTTGATACAGGTTGTGAAAAGGATCTGAAAATAGTTACACAAGTGGAAAGTGTTCTTTTGACTCCTAACTTACTGAATATTTTCTGTAGATGAAAGACATGACCTGCTGTGATGTCGTTAAAGAAGTTGCAAAGATGTAAGTGGCCACTTTCCATACCGCTCACAGAACAGTTCTTCACCTGACCACATACATTAATTCAGAGGTGGTTTTACTTGACGGTAACTGCATAATTTTTAGAAGGTGAATTTCATATTTGAAGATGAATTAAGGAAGAGAATATCCATATTTTGACAATGAATGGAATGGGAAAAATAGCTTTTGATAAAATAAACTCCTGTTTAGGTGACAGAATTCAAGGGTAGGACGACGTAGTGGACCTCTGGGGACTTGTTCCCAACTTCCCAAATCTCAAAATTCCCAATAACAGTAATCTTCACTTACAAACTTTCAGTTACAGCTAATTATTTCTGTATGTGATCCATGAAGTTGGCTCATTTACATAATGTTTCTTTGGGCAAAATAATGTCAATTATAAAAGCTCTTGTAACAAGATAAGAGCGGTATTTCAAAACATTTAAAAACTGAAGAAAGCCTGAAGTGATTCATATTACAGGTAGAGTAGGTTGCTATGTAATAGTTAATAGTAAGCAATAAAGCCAGTAAACCAAGTTGGCAGTGCTTCATAATTCTTATAGATCAAGGAATGTAAGTATTTGGTAATTCAAAAAATAAAAAAATGCTGGTCTTGGCCCTAGCGGGTTTGACTCAGTGGTTAGAGTGTCGGCACGTGGACTGAAGGGTCTCGGGTTTGATTCCAGTCAAGGACACGTACCTCTGATGCAGGCTCGATCCCTGGCCCCAGTCGGGGTGGGTGCAGGAGGCAACCAATTGATGTTTCTCTCCCTTCCACTCTCTAAAAAGCAATGGGAAAAATATCCTCAGGTGAGGATTAAAAGAAATTAATTAAAATGCTGGTTTTGTAGCCAACTTTTCAGATTTTATAGTCATAAACATAATACTCCAGAGAATTCACAGCACCTCTATTCCAACGTGAACATGGTCTAGTCAGTCAGCTCTTTACAACTGTCTCAGCCAGTAATACATGCAAGGAAAAAAGTCCTAGAGAGCTGTTTTATATTAATAAGTGTACTAAATGGCACCCTTAATCTCAATTTAACTGATAGTCTTTATAAATAAAATATTAACTTCAAAAGTATAATTTTTAAAGTCCTCATTGTCCATCACTCCTGCTATTCATCTGCCCCCTTTCCCAGAACTTCCCCCATTCCAGTTGTAAAGAAGCAGAACCCACTTTATAAAAAAGTAATTCTCATTGTGTAACAGTTTAACGTGATAAGTGCTCCTTCACTGAGAAGTGCTCCTGGAAATTAGCCCTTACCAGACCTTTTCTATTTAGGTATAATAGTAGGCACTAATTAGTTCTGTGTAGGAAGGCCATCCCTTACGTAGCACTACGTATCTTTTACTTCATTTCAGAAAATTAAGGTATAGCAAGGTGTTAGGAATGCCCTCCAAAAGTAGTGTGTAAGGTAGTGGAAAATATAAAACAGGAAAGCTTTGCTCTGATACTTTTTTGATATTTTTACTTTAATATGTTACATGGTAGTGCCTCCTTGTTTGCTGCAATTTGGAATGTATTATATGTAGTTTGAAGGCCAGGTTAAGGGGGAAATGGACAACGGTTTACAAAGATTCCTGCCAAGAAGTTGCAGATAGAAGAAACCACTAATAATTGCAAACTTAGAAATTAGTTTATTTTAAAAATAATCAGTTAATGAATGGAGAAAACAAATATCCTGAAAACACACAGGTAATGATGGTTTTTTCCCATTTGTGTTCTTTATGAGGTATCTCTTTTAGTTATGTCTCTAAAACAGTGCATAAAACAACATGGATTTAAAGGTATCTTGAATGATTTGTAGTGGTTATCAATCCTCGTGTAATTTGTCTTTTTTAGTGTTCATAAATATAAAATGTATAATGTGCATGTGTGTAATTTTATACTTATACTAGGGGTGGATGTTCTAATTTGTGCTGACTGGGTACATGAATTATACAATGTTTGTAGATAACCAAATGATTGTTATAATTTTTCTGTTCTAGAATTTACATAGTACATGATGAAGTTAAGGATAAAGCTTTTGAACTGGAGCTCAGCTGGGTTGGTGAAAGTAAGTTACTTTTATGCATTTATTTTCTCTCAAGTTGTCTGTACCAAACCTAATTTACCACTGGATGCCTTTTTAAAAAAAGTTTAAAAAAATAATTCGTTAAAGACATACATATAGAAAAGTACACAAATAACAAATGATGAATTATTACAACATAGATAGAGTCATATAATCATTGCTCTGGTCAACAAATAGACTAGCCCCCCTGGCCTGTAGCTCACAATTGGTTAGAGGGCCTTCCCCATACACCAAGGTTATGGGTTCAATCTCTGTTCAAGGCATATACAAGAAGCAATGAATGAATGCATAAATAAATGGAACAAAAATCGATGTTTCTCTCTCTCTGAACTCAAATAAAAAATTATTAAGTATTTAAAAAACAGACTAGCCCCTAGATCACCTCCTGGGCCTCCTTGAAATCAGTCCTTTACCATCTCCCACAAAGTAACTGCTATCCTGAATTCTAGCACCAGAGTTTTGCCTGTTTATATAAGTGGAACTGGATAATATGTATTCCTTTGTTTCTGATTTCTTCAACATATTTGTGTAAGTCAGTTGTGTTGCTGTGTATTTTAAGTAGTATTTGTTCATTTGCCTTGCTGTATAGTGTTCTGTTCCCTGAATGTACCACAATTTATTCATCATCTGTTGCTGAACAGTTGGGCTGTTTCCAGTTTTTATTTTTATTTTACTAGAATGAATATTATAGCTGTGGACATCATGTACAATTATTTTGGTACACCTGCATAGCATTTCTGTTGGAAAATATACATAAGAGTCGAACTGCTAGGTCATGAAATATGCATATGTTCCACTGCAGTAGATATTGCCAAAATGCGTTCTGACACAGAACAAACAAAGCCTGAACAAATTTACCAGGTAGTCGTTTTTGTGTGTTTTTTTTTTAAAATATGTCTTTATTGATATCAGAGAGAGGAAGGGAGAGGGAGAGAGTTGAAACATCAATGATGAGAGAGCCGTCATTGATTGGCTGCCTCCTGCATGCTCGCAACTAGGGATCGAGCCTGCAGCCCTGCATGTGCCCTGACCGGGAATCGAACCGCAATCTCCTGGAGCCTACGTCGATGCTCAACTTCTGAGCCACACCTGACTGGGCTCAGGTAGTCTGTTTGAAGGGAAAGTTACGCTTAATAATCGACTAAAATGAATAGTTTTAACTTTCTGAAACATCCATTTCATGTTTTTAAAAATACTACTGAGACGCCAAGTTATTCTTTCTAGCATGGTAACCATAGAGCTTCAAGAACAGTTAAAAAAAAAAATCATGCTACACATGAATGAATACTCAAGATTTATTATAGCATCAGAATAAATCATAGCATAATTTATTCTTTGTTTCCATAAGAGCTAAATTTGGGCATATTTAATCTACGTGGAGAAAACAAAAGAATGAATTCAAAGCATCTGGTATTACTCAAAGTACAACTTTACAAAATTAACCTTAGATGGACCATACCTGTGGATTGGGTACATTGCATAGTATTGCAAATCACAATATAGTCCTTGCTTTTAATTCATTTAAATATATGGTTTAATTTCTAGTAACTAAAGGAAGACATGAAATTGTTCCGAAAGATATAAGGGAAGAGGCAGAGAAATATGCTAAGGTAAGTCACTGCATGAAAACTTCATGGAAATAAGCATAGAGTAACAATTTATATTAAATAACAAAGGTTAAGTTGAACTAAGGATAGAAATTTTCTAGGTTATCCTCAATTGGGATAAAGCTGCCCTGGTTCCAATTTTTTTTGTGTGTGTGTGTGAAAATGGCAAGGTTTTTTTCAGGACATTTAATACTTTCATATTGTGCATAGTCTATAAAAAATAAGCCATTTGAGTATTAGACCAAGGCATATTTAATCATCCTTTTCTTTAGTTGGGTGCCTTAGTCTAAACCAGTGTTCATTTTTCAGTTATAAAGTATTTTTAGTAAGTTTCAGTTGTTGTGATATGAAAAATAGATTTTAAACACTATTTTTCTCTTAACAGGAATCTTTGAAGGAAGAAGATGAATCAGATGATGATAATATGTAACATTTACTTCAGCATTTGTTTTAAATTTCTAATACAGTCCCCATGTAACTATTTAGCCCCTTGGATTATTACATATTCACTGACCAATTTTCATTAAATTTTTGTCTTGTAATTCTTGAAGTTTGGTTACTATCTCCATGACAAAATTGGTGGGATAACTGAACACATATTCATAGCATTAAAATGTAAATTTATGCCTACTAAAAAATTTCTTAGTTAAAATGCTGCAAATAGAGGCTTTGGAATCAGATTAATTCAAAGCTCCATTCCAGCTAGGATCGAAAGGTTGTATTCTGCTGGGGTGTTGTGTAAAAATGACCTACCAATGTAGTAGGCAATTGCCCACTTTTGTATTTAGTGAAATGACTGTTTATCATCAGCCACTGTTAACCTCTAGTTGTACACACACAAGAAAGATGTTCCAGTAGAGTCAAGAATGTATTTTTTTTCTTTTATTGTGGTGAGGAGTGGATTTAAGTATCCATAAAGTTGCTATTCTGTCACTTAAGAAATTTCTCAATCTGTAAAGTTTATATAAAAATACTCATATTTTATGCTAAAAAATAAATGAGAATATATGTGGAAGTACTCTAAACAGAGATGTTACTGAGAACATTCAGAATTGTGGCCTACAAGAACGATTGTCATAACCTGAAGAGTAGCATTCACAGCAGGAAGAAACAATTTGAACTCAGGCCAAGTATCCAGGTGTACACATCCGTAATTGGGCTCATGCCAGGCTCACTCCATTCAACTGTCATGCTTTCCTAGGAAGGTAACCTAGTCACAGAGTTTAGCAGCAGGGAACTGCTGGACTTTGAGCATCTGTGTAGTTCAAGTAGCAAATCATTGTACTTGAATAGCTAACTACTATACAAATAAGCCAAAACCAATGTCACTGCCATGGCTTCATTTATATAAAATTAGCTGTTACATTTTACAGCTCATACGTTTAATTCAGAATGGCACCAGTGTTGGCCTTGGCCAAACACCTAAACAGAATTAAACTGGATCTAGCTATACAGAGAGAGTAAATAAGCTGGCTATCCCCAAGCCAATCTATGGCCATTCTTTTCCAAACTTCCAAAGTAAGAACAATACATGGGTCTCCTATTACTGTACTGTGAGTACATGTGTTCTTATATCAGTATAGTTAACCTTTTTAAAAGACAGGAGTGGTTCTAAAGAAACCTAAATTTGAGCAGCTAAGCCACCTGAAAACTAGTACAGATGCCATAACATCAGATAAATCTAAAACTGTTTAAGCCAGATACACCCAGCTCTTCAGCTATTATGGAAGAAAAACAATTTATTTTCACACATACTAATAGGTTTAATAATCTATGTCAGGTGGAGAATCTTTTTTCTGCCAAGGGCCATTTGGATATTTATAACATCATTCATGGGCTATACAAAATTATCAAGTTAAAAATTATATTTGAAAAAAGCTAAATTTATTGACTTTCAAGTCCAGCCTGCGGCTGCCTTGGCAGGGCCAGACCAAACAGGCCCGTCGTTCCCCACCCCTGGTCTAGGTCCAGTTACAGGGGCACTGTGTAACTGCACCACTGAGATACATTAGCCTCTGAGGAAAGAAAAAACTAGTACCTATTACTTTATATAAGACTACAAATTTATTTTCAGAAAAGACTGAGTACCTTGATTCCTGTAAACCTTGACGCTGGTACCTAAAAAACAAAAAACAAATTTTAAAGAATCAAGTTTTGGTTTAGGGATTACAAATAAGAAAATTTATTAAGACTATAAAAGCACTTATCTGATAATAGTATCCATCTGCTTTTATGTCTATCATTCATAAAGGGACCTGAAAAATAAATGAGAAAAACCACATTGTAGGTCAATACGTTTAACTGATTGAAACAAAACACTCTTCAAATTGAAGAGCCAATTAAGATGACTAACATTTCCTTTCTCATTTTGTAAAAATTATCCACTTATTAAAATGTGATTAAGAAACCAGAAGAAATCTACAAATGAAAATGACTTAAATGTAGAACACACTATCCTAATATTGTTTCTCTAACTTTTGAATTACCTACCTTTGGAAATGGAACCCAGACTTGATTCTATTTTACTTTCCTATACGCTACCATATCTGTATTGAATTCGCCATGCATAGGCTATTTCTTAAGTAGTCTTTCCTAAGGACTCTGCCTGCCTCCCAAAGAAAGCCTTCTAAAATGATTTCTTCCTCTCAAAGCTCTTTACATGTTTCCCACTAAATAGTTGTCAAACTACTTTGAAAAAAGAAAAAGGAACTCCAAAACATGGAGTAAGAGTATTCTTAAACCTAACCAAGTAAAAGCTTTTGTTCTACCACTGGCCGTGTTTATGCATCTATTACGTGTTTATGCATCTGTTACGGTGTTGACTATCCCTCCCACAGATGGAAGTTGTTCAAGAAAAGAAACCATGTTTTTCATCTTCACTGGTGAGCACACAGTAGGCATTCAAACGCTAATGGTACACATTTTTAAAAATTTGAAGTAATTCATACTAGTGAAATGCAGCATAAGGTAGACCAATTTTGGGTATATATTGAAAGAAACTCAAAACACTGATTCGAAAGAATATATGCACTCCCATGGTCATTGCAGCATTATTTACAAAAGCCAAGGTATGGGAGCAACCCAAGTGCCCATCAATAGATGAGTGAATAAAAAGCTGTGGTACATATATACAATGAAATATTACTCAGCCATAAAAAAGGATGCAATCTTACCATTTGCAACAGCATGGCTGGACCTAGAGGGGCTATGCTAAGTGAAATAGGCCGGGCGTTGGGGGGCAGAGTGAAAAAGTGATGGGATTAAGAAGCACTGCTAATTAGTTACTAAAGAGTCATGGGCATATAAGAGAAAGCATAGGGAAGGAATATAGTAAAAAATGTAACAGCTATCTATGGTGCCAGGTGGGCACTTGATTTGCCAGAGGGAATACTTTGTAACTACATGAATATATACCCGCTGTGCTGTACACCTGAAACTAATACAAAAGTGCTGAATGCAAACTGTAATCGTAAAATAGAACAAAAAATATACTGGAAAAAAACTACTGGTTCACTACTTACTGTATTGATCAGAGAGGCTTGTAAATTAAGGTGAGCATCATTTATGATTTGAAAAGATCTGGAAAACTCAAGCTCAGAAAATATATAAACTTTGGGGTAATCAAGTCTTTTTTTAAAAAGTAAGTTTTTATTGACTTTAGAGGGAAAGAGAAACATCGATGAGAGAAACATTGATCAGCTGCCTCCTGCATGCTCCCTAATAGGGTTTAAGCCCAAAACCTGGGCAGCTACCATGACCAGGAATCAACCAGCAACCTCTTGGTGCATGGGACGACGTCCAACCAACTGAGCCATACTGGCCAGGGTGGAATCAAGTATTTTATGAAAGCATGATAATGGGATTTTTCTTGTTAAAAGAAGTTAGGGCTTCCTTTCTGCCACCACTGTAACAACAATTTCATAATAAAACTAACATCAAAATTAAAGCCAGATTAGTGGTTTATAAGTTCATATAGGTTTCAAATTGGCTTTGTTATTTGATAATTGTGTCACTTTGGGCAAGTTACTTAATTTCCTCATCTATAAAATGAGGATTATATACCACTAAAATGGCATAAACTGGAATACTTAGGTATAAATTTAAATTGTGCAAGATTTTATGTTGAAAATTACAAAATGGTGCAAGAAAACGAACTAAACAGAAACTGATCAGAAGATTCAGTATTCTCAAGTTTCCCTAACTGATTTATGGATTCAATGTAAAGCTAGTCAAATTCACAAGAGGCTCTTTTTTGGGGGTGGGGTTGAGAGTGGTAAAAAAATCTCAAGCTGTTTCTGAAATTTATATGGGCAAAGGAATTTGAGCAGTCAAGACAATTTTGAAAAATAAAGACCCATGGCCACCTGACCATATAAATTAATGTAACAGACATTAATGGAACAGAATGGAGTCTTACAACGGACTTAGAAATAAATATGGTCAACTGATTGACAAAGGTGAAAAGGCAAATCAATGGAGAATAGTGCTTTTTCACAGATGGTGCTGGAACAATTGGACAGACATCCATAATGTAAAAACAGAAACCGACACCAAAAGCCAAACCATACCTTGGTACTATATACAGAAATTAACTCAAAGTGATAAGCCAAAATGTACCTCAAACTCTAAAGCTTCTAGAAGGAAACAGAAGACCTCTGAATCTGGTTTAAAAATAGAGTTCTCACTATATCAAAAACTGACGAACTGAATTTCGCACAAATTAAAAGTTGCTCTCCTAGAAAAAGAATGAAAAGACACAAAAAACTCTAGAGAAAAATATTTGGAAATCACTTAACCTTACAAAGGACATGTGTCCAAAATATACAAAGAATTCTCAAAACTCAACAATTGTCTGAATTTTTAAATGAGCAAAAGATTCAGGAAATTCACATTACAAATCAAATTGATGTTCCACATCCAACCCCTTCAAAAGGTAATCACCTTATATGTATCTTTCTAGTCCATATATAATAGCTCTTCAAAATAGTAAATGCCGGTGTAATGTGGTTAATATATAAAGGTTGAAGAGCAAGGGTCCTTACACATTTTGAGTTTGTGTTTGAAGTGTATGATTTGGAATTTTATATGTGGAACCATAATGTGGAATTTAGGAAAATTCATTTAAGGAGTTGGACTATACAGTCCATATGGGAATGGAAATTGTTAAAAAACTTTCAGGAAAGTCAACAAGACCAATGTGCAGTATGGGAGAATTATTCTATACTTATTTCCCCAGTGGGAAAAACAGGCACATTTAAAAATCACTAGGCAAGGTATATTAGAAATATGCGTGTACTACATATACATATACTGTATGTACATTCTGAACTACAAACGTGTGCTTTGGGAAGGGGGGAAAAGATAAACTGACAAACAAGGAAGGGAGTATGGACAGTTTCCTGGAGATCTAGGAGGATGAGCTCTCCTATCAGTGAATTTAGGACATTTAGAAAAACTAAGGATGTTCATTAATTAGTAGGAAAAAAAGTTTTGAGATGGCAATAATTGAAACAAGCAAAAAGACTAATCTTTATAAACAGAATTTAGATGACAGTGGAACTGCAACCATTTGGTTCAAAGACCACCTGCATAAGAATCCTCAATAGATTGAACTCACTAGGTCGAAGTGAGACCCAGGAATCTGCATTTTGTACAAGTAACCTAATGTAATGCTTATAAATACACTAAAATTTGAGATTCACTGATTTGGACCCAGGTCATTAAAAGGAGAACATGGCAACAGGAACAATAACATAAAGGGTTTCAACAGACGAAATGTCTGTTATAATCAAAATGGAAGGTGAGACCGAAGATCACGGTGGGTAGGTATTTAGGAAAACTTTTTTTCACTGCATTTTTAAAGAAATACATGTCTCAGAAATAGCACATTCTGAGATGATGAAAAGTATCTGGTAGAAACTTTATAATAGATGACTTCAAAGATCTTATAAATCAGCATCAGTTCTCTGAACATTTCCAAAATGCCAGGGAGCCGATAACAAGGAAATTATGTAAGTATTCAGGGATTAAAAAGCACCTCATTTTAGTGTCAGGTCAAACAGGAGAAAAACAGCTCTGACTTAAGGCAGGCCAGGCCAATTTGGTCAAAGAAAGTGTTACGCTTGGTTCTCTGACTGCAAAAGAACCTTAACACAAGATTTCCTTACCAGCAATATGAGGGGATTCAAGTTTACACTGAAAGTGTTCTACTGACACATTCTATTACCTAATTAGAAGTTGATTTCATAGAAAAACATGACAAATAATTCATCATTTATAACTAACGTTCTACTTTTTCACTATTTTAGTTGCAAAAGATTCTTTCAGTCCTTTTACTGCAACCTTTCCCCCAAAGATATTCTATATTCACAATGTAGTCCATTTCTATCTATTCTATTTCCTCTATCCCTGCTGAAAACGGAGGAAATGTGGCTGAATGCAGTTCTTACGTATTTGTAGAGGAAAAGTCTACTAGAAATGAACATAGATTCTTCCTTCATGGGCTATGTAATGATTCATTCACAAACTGCAACACGTTTGATGTGGAAAGCCTAAAGGGGAGCCACAGCGTTGGCAAGTCATATGCTAATAATTTCTGATGACAAAAGTTTCTCTTCCAGGCAATCCTCTTTCATAACACAAGCCAAATGAAGCCTTCTGACAAATGTCTTCAAGTGTAGACAGGATGTGCCACCTCCCAACCCCCCATCTCAACATTTGAACAGCTTCCAAACTGAACTTCAGGAGAGATGCTTTAAACATGAAACTCAAGCTCATCCATTCTTTCCCCTAAATGGAAATCTGACAAAACAGGAAGTACTTGGCAGCACAGAGAAGCAAGTTTTGTGGCTTACATATTTACTGGTAGCAAACTAGTTCTTCATGACAGTGTAATAAAATGCAGAACTTCACATTTAAGAGGAAAACAGCACAAATTTGCCTTGGTTACCGAGGTTCCCTTTGCAATTTAAAGGCCTTAAAGACAATATCACGTGATACATAGAGGAATAAGAAACAGGAAGATGGCTTTTCTTTGTTATGTTCCTTCATATAAAAACCCCCATCCCTGTCCTAAGCCTTCAAGATTATACAAACACTTGCCCGGCCGGGCGTGGCTCAGCAGTTGAGCGTCGAGCTAGGATCCAGGTGATGGGGTTCGATTCCCGGTCAGGGCACATGCCCAGGTTGTGGGCTTGATCAATGACTCTCTCATCATTGATGTTTCTGTCTCTCTGTCTCTCTCTCCTTTCCTCTC